ATATAACATTGTGAATAAAAAAGGTAACAATGTCAATTCTTTTCTGCACTACTCTACTCCTTTTTATAATGATCTTAATGTCCAGTATGTACACTATGGTGGGCATTGGTGTTTTGTAATTAATAAAACTGTTCATGTGCTTAAAACATGTAAAAAAAAAAAGCCTGTACAGCAACTAAATACTTAATTTACAAAGGGTCACACAGCACCTGCACTGCATATTTTGCTTAATTATATCAAACTACTATTGTAAATAATAGCCAGATAAGAACCGTTAAAATTACATCATCAATTTCTAAAAACTGGAAACTAGACCATACTGTAAACAAGGTTTTTGCCTCACTGTGGATCAGTTGTGGGTTTAGGATGCAGGTTTTAATTTTATTTTTAGTGTGTCACTTTTTTCATCTTTACTAGCTAGTAACTAAAATAAATCACAAATACTATCAAGTCCAGCCCTTACATGTATGAATAGACATGCTTGCTACATGCCTACCAATGTTGTCAAGAATATTTAATTAAAAAAAAACATTTATGAATGCCTTACGATTACAATGAGTGTCACAACATGTCCACCTGCTCTACAATGTGTCTACCTTTAACAAGGTATAAACATAACTATACAGAAACTATATAGTGCAACAGTGGTTTGCAAGTTATATTGCAAAAAATTACTTAATTTACAATTTTATTTTAATACAGTTTTTTAAAATATAAACCATATACAGTAGTTTTTCTTGTAGTTTGGAAGCTTGCGAAATGTAGCTGTAGAACATGGTGCTTATGCATTACCCTTGTCCTAACTGGATTGTGGTAACTTAGACGTATATCCCTGCTGCAAAGAATACAATCATTCAAGCCTATTGAAAAAGTATAAAGTACAATGAATGGGCAAAACGAATATTTGGTTTTCCCAGATTTTTCAAAATCCAAATTTACATTTCCCAGAAAACTAAACTGGATTGCTTTCTCAGGGTTACTTCACAAAGTAACTACACTTTCTTGTTATAGGGAAACGCCTCTAGCTGGACACTGATGGGTAGCATGTTTTGAGTTCCAGGGGGTAGATTACTTCACAAATCACAGCAAAGAGCATAACTCTCACACCTACGGTTTCCAATTATTTATCCTACATTATGAAGAACTCACTGGGCAAATATGACCAGTCGCTGCAGCAAATAGAATGTACTTGGATGTCTGCAGAAAACAAAAGCTTACAACTTAGGTTTCTAACAGGTGATTCAAAATTGACAGCAACTATACAAAAGCAGTAATTGTATGTATCAAAATGCCAGGACTGTATAAATCAGCACCAACATCCCTAAAAGCCCCAAAACAGTCTTAGATATGGGACTTTTTAGGTGCCAAGTAATGCATGACATATGATATACTGTTGAAATACAATCATTTATTGTAAAATTGTTAAAACAAACCAATTTAGGTTTGAAAGTACTAGTTTTACAGTGGAGTATTGAACATAAGTATATAAAGTTCGTTTACATATGTGTAACAGTGAAATCGTTATAAATTCCCCTTTCTTCAACATAACGTCTTCCATATGAAATTGTCCAATGAGGAGTCTAATCACTAAAAGCAATATAATGGATTACCATGCATTGTGTGGGTCTCCACCCCCATTTTCTCAGGCTGTGTGAAACTATAGATAGCAACCAGAGTACACGTCAACATTATATATTTCTAAATACCTTGTTATAGCATACGTACATCCACAGCAGAAATCATGGTCCATATCAAATTGGGAGAAGTCCTGAAACACAGTGGGCAATATTACAGGTATATATTGCCTACAAGGTGATCTTTTCTATAAAATGTATATTTAATATTACCTACCAGGTTAAAAAACAAAACAAAACAAAAAAAAAAACCACACGTGGGAGCCTGCCAATCTTTATGTAGGGGGGGCTTGCCACTTGGCCTTTACCTACAATGTCTTCTCTCTTAGGTAAAGGGCAAGTGGCAAGGCCCCCCCCCTACAAACTCGAGGGGCCGTTTAGGGGACACCAACAGGAAAGGGGGCCATTACAACTGTGGGTTGGCAGGCTCGCACATATTTTTTTACCCACACTCACAATAACTTATATACATACATGCACACCTCAATAAGAGTATCAAAAATGTATTTTATTTCAGTAATTTAATTCAAAAGGTGAAACTCATATTATGTAGATGCATTAAACACAGAGTGATATACTTACATCTAGTGAAGACCCACAATTATGTATCTGAGAAAATTAGAATATTGTGCAAAAGTTCACTATTGTAGATTCAAGATGTCACACTTTAATCAGCTAATTAACTAAACTCCTGTAAAGGTTTCCCGAGCCTTTAAATTCAGTAGGTTACACAATCTGGTTCAGTAGGTTACACAATCAAGGGGAAGACTGCTGACTTGTCAGTTGTCCAGAAGACAGTCATTGGCACCCTCCACAAGGGTAAGTCACAAAAAAGGACATTGCTAAAGAAGCTGGCTGTTAGAGTGCTGTATCCAAGCATAATAATGGAAAGTTAAGTAGAAGCAAAAAAGTGTGGTAGAAAAAAAGTGCACAAGCAACAATGATAACCGCAGCCTTGAGAGGATTGTGAAGCAAAGGCCATTCAAGAATTTGAAGGAGATTCACAAGGAGTAGACTATGGCTGGTGTCAGTGCTTCAAGAGCCACACCACACACACATCCAGGCCATGGGCTACAACTGTCACTTCCATGGCTATTTCCATGTGTCAAGCCACTCCTGAATCAGAGACAACGTCAGAAGCGTCTTACTTGGGCTAAGGAGAAAAAAAAAAAAAAAAAGGACTGGACTGTTGCTCAGTCATTCGAAAAGAAGATTTTTGACCAAAGTAAATTTTGCATTTCATTTGGAAATCAAGGTCCAAGAGTCTTGAGGAAGAATGGAGAGGCACAGAATCCAAAACTGCATGTGGGCCAGTGTGAAGTTTCCACAGTCAGTGATGATTTGGGGAGCCAAGTCATCTACGTATGTTGGTCCACTCTTTTTGTTTGTTTTTTTATCAAGTCCAAAGTTAGCACAGCCCTCTACCAGGAAATTCTAGAGTACTTCATACTTCCCCACTGCTGACCAGCTTTATGGAGATGCTGATTTCATTCTCCAGCAGAAGTTGGCACCCGCCCACACTGCCTAAAGTACTAATATCTGGTTTAATGATCATGGTATCACTGTGCTTGATTAGCTAGCAAACTTGCCTCATCTAAACCCCAAAACATGTGGGGTATTGTCAAGAGTGTATTGTCAAGAGGAAGATGAGAGACACCAGACCAAACAATGCAGACAAGCTGAAGGCTATTATCAAAGCAACCTGGGCTTCCATAACACCTCAGCAGTGCCACAGACTGATAGCCTCCATGCCACACCACATTGATGTGGTAGTTCATGTAAAAGGATCACCAACCAAGTATTGAGCGCATACTATACTGTACATTTCAGTAACTCAACATTTCCGTATTAAAATTTTTTATTTATTTATTTTTTTTTAATTGGTCTTATGTAATATTCTAATTTTTTTCCAGCCTGCTGATGATTGTCCCCAGGCCCATCATTACAGCCCCGGATAATCATATTGTATAACATAGGATATTTAGAATGATCTAAAAATGGCATATAGTGACTGTTCTCTATAGATCTACAGAATCTGAGGGGGAGCAGACAAACGAAACGCTTGTAATTCATTGTATTATTTTTTCCTAATTGGACACATCTGCAAACAAGTTATGTTGAAGGAAAAAGGAATGTATAAATGATTTTACTGGGAAACATATGTAAAATAACTTTATATAATTATGTTATACAATATACAGCTGTGAAACTAGTACTCTCAAACCTAAATCAGTTTATGCTTTAACAATTTTAAACTAAATGATTGGATTTTAACAGTGTAGCATGCATTCCTTACAAAAGGGATAACAGGCACATGGTGTGGCAGTCCATGTATGTTTGAGGAGTTCCAAATGAGCAGTGGTAAGGGTAGTCCAGTAGGCACTAAGGGCAAGCTGCGTAGGAGCGAAGCATAATTCTGCAGAAGGGAAACAAAGAAGCACAGCTCCTCTAAGTGTGTACTGTGAAGGTATTTAATAGAAAGATTAGTAACTCACATCTTAGAATTTAAAAACAGGCTCATGAGTAAGAGGGTGAGAAGTCTGTAGCCAAATGTTGTGTGACTGATCCAGAGAGATCGATAGAGTCCACCAGCAGGTGGTGCTGTGCATTTGCAACATGGATGGTAAGCCTGGTGAAATCTCCAAAGTGTCTGCTAGCAGATGGTGCTGTGCATATGCAGCATAGATGTTGAAGCCTGGCAGAGTCTCCAAGATGTCCGGGATCAGCACGTGTGGATTCTGTCATTAAAAAGCTACGCATTTCTGAGCATGTGCAGGACGAGGGGCGCCCAGGCGCGCTCTTTCATCAGGCAGTCTGACTGATGAAAGCGCGCGCCTGGACTCCTCTCTTCCTGCACATGCTAAGAAACGGTCGCATTTTGATTACGTCAGACGCCCCATGTGCTGATCCCGGACATCTTGGAGACTGCCAGGCTTCACCATCTATGCTGCAAATGCACAGCACCATCTGCTAACAGTCACCTTGGAGATTCTACCAGGCTTACCATTCATGTTGCACATGCACAGCCCCACCTGCTGGCGGACTCAATTGATTACCTCTCTGGATCAGTCACACAACATCTGGCTATAGATGTCTCACCCTCTTACCCATGAGCCTGTTTTTAAATTCTAAGATGTGAGTTACTACTTATCTTTCTATTAAATACCTTCACAGTACACACTTAGAGGAGCTGTGTTTTTGTTTCCCTTTAGCATGCATTCCTTGGCAACCAAAAAGTCAACATATGCAAGAGTGTTTTTGGGCTATACAAAAGCCATTATCAATAGGAGAGGGAAAACCAGTTTCATAAGGAGGAATTTCAATGTCTTGAAAACCCATTTAACTCAACATAAACCTAACTACCATTTAAACGAGCCATTGTTCACGTTCCTTCGTGTATTTTTCAGACCATTTTCTGGTAATCTCCAAATAAATGCTAGGTTTATGGGGCAAATAGTCCTCATATTTCATCTGTGCATTTTTTTTTGGAACGGCTGCTTCAATCTGAGTTCCTTCATGCCATTCATTGAAAGATGTAATAGAAACAATACTTGGTCGCACCAATAATGCTGCATTAAGAGCAGTCTCATAGTATTTCCCATTAATTCTGTTTCTTGTATTTTTAAAATTCCAAGGACGTATGCTGGTATCTATGTACCCAGGTCCAACACTTGGAATAAATATCAAGTTATTAGTATCACAAAACTCTTTCAAACTTGACCAGTGCTGATGTGAGGATCCATATGTAAAACCATTGGTGGCAAAGTATGTATAAAGTCCATCAAATCCACTTCTTTTTATATCAATTTTATGTTTTTCTTCTACAAGCAAAGCAATGAAAATTCCATCGTATGGCGTATTCCGAATACTTAGGGATCCTGATGCTGTGAACAAATTAGCCCACTTGTCAGGACTTGTTACATAGGAATCATAAATGTAAAACATAGGCAAATGTTTGCCAGAATTAGTCTTATATCTGTAAAATGCAGGATGGTTTCCATATCTATAGAGAGAGAGAAAAAATAAAAGGTAGATAACATTAAGTTAGCAACACAAAGTCAACAAACAAACCAATATGCAATAAAATCCCAATATTCAAATTAACCACAGTGATAAATGGATTTACAGATACTGGCTAACGTTTGCCTGCATCTATTGTATAAAAATTCTCTATTAACCACTTCAAGTCCGGGCAGTTTTACCCCTTTCCTGTTCAGGCCAATTTTCAGCTTTCAGTGCTATCACACTTTGAATGACAATTGCGCAGTCATGCAACACTGTACCCATATGAATTGTTTTTTCTATATAAATGAAAAAGTCAAAAAATTTTTTAAAAAAGTAGTTTTTCTCTTATAAAATTTTGCAAATAAATCATCTCTTCATTAATCTTGGCCAAAAATGTATTCAGTTATCTTTTTAGTAAGGGAAAAAAAAACAAAATTAGTTTATAACCAAAAATTATAATTAAAAAAAAATAAAAGTTACATTTTTTATTTATGGTTTTTTTTTTTTCTTACATACGGTTACCCTAGCAGTACAACAGTGACACTACTACTTGTGGGGGGTGATGAGGATTTTTGATTGCTTTTACAGCCTTTATGGGTGTCAAAGCAATCATTTCTCCTTCCTTCTCTCTGGCTGCATTCTTGCAGCCTTTGAGAAATACTGTGTGAGCTGTGATTGGTCACAGCTTGTCACATAGTACCAAGGCTGTTGTGAATAGCCTTGTACCATGTGATCAGATTTCACACGTAGCAAGCAATGATGTGAGAAGTGACATCTTGCTTACTACTCTTCATGTGATCGCTGATTGGCCAATCAGTGATCGCATGATCGGGACCTCACACAGAGGTCCCGTACAGCGATCAGTGTTCACTGTGTCCGGAGGACACAGCGGGCACCGGATCGAGGTGCTGCGCGCTCCCAGGGAAGCCCAGGGAAGCGGGAAGGATATTTATAAACGGACACCCCACCCCTGCACTGCTTCCGTCGGGCCATTTATATACATGGGCCAGATGGGAAGTGGTTAAAAGAGAAGCTCTACAAAGTCTATGTAGAATAGTCATTCGTTATGCCCATACAGAGCACATGCACACGTTTAACAGGCAGCAAGAGGAAAGCGAAACATAAAAAATGGTCAAGGTAGGGGTAGGCCACAGGTATCCACTATGAAGTTTGCAGATGAGGTGTACATAGTTTCCTTACTGGGTGGAGGGAGGGACATATGACATTATGTTAAAAAAAGGTGCAATTATGCTTGAAGTACCCATTAGCTTTTTCAAACAATGCAAAATTACGTGTCTTGTCATTTACACTATGCTATTGCAATCAGGCTATTTCACTAGGTTTTAAAGTACACTAAAGTTGTGATTTAAACAGCTAAATCTACATGTGTAAAGGAAGTTTTTCTCATTGCAAAAGAGACATATGACTTTTTGTACAATAAAGGATTCTTATCTTCATCTCGCAAACATCAAACTGTACGTTGAGCTGCAGCTCAATGTACAGTTGTGGCCAAAATTATTCAACCCCCAATGCTGTAAAGGGGTTTAGGGACTATAGTGTACATTTGGAATTGTATTCAGAATCAAATCCTACAAGGACGTTGTAACTACCCAAATGCAACTAAAATGACATCAATTGTTTATGTAATACAGTAGTAAATGGTTCTTATGTGGTTTCTTCATTGCCCACAATTATTCAACCCCTTAAAGACTACCACTCTGAAGAACAGAGGTTCATACAGGTGCTTTCCATCAGGTATTTTGGATGTCACCGAGCAGCAATCAAGCATAATAAGCACCAATTAGGCAGCTTTAAAATGACTGTGATACTCAGCTCCTTCTAGACATTTACTGGTGTGGTTACAAACATGGTGAAGGCAAGAGAATGGTCCAGGAAGACAAGAGAAGAGGTGATTTCTCTTCACAGGAAGGGCAATGGCTATAAGAAGATTGCAAAGATGTTAAACATACCAAGAGACACCTTAGGAAGCATCATTCGCAAATTCAAGGCAAAGGGCACTGTTGAAACGCTACCTGGTCGTGGCAGAAAGAAGATGCTGACTTCGACTGCTGTGCGCTACCTGAAGCGTAGAGTGGAGAGAAGTCCCCGTGTGACTGCTGAGGAACTGAGAAAAGATTTGTCAGATGTGGGTACAGAAGTTTCAGCCCAGACAATAAGACGCACACTGCGTAATGAAGGCCTCCGTGCAGAACTCCCAGGCGTACCCCCTTGCTGTCTCCAAAGAATAAGAAGAGTCGACTGCAGTATGCCAAAAGCCATGTGGACAAACCACAAAAGTTGTGGGATAGTGTTCTGTGGACTGATGAAACAAAATTAGAACTGTTTTGGGCCCATGGATCAACGCTATGTTTGGAGGAGGAAGAACAGGCCTATGATGAAAAAGAACACCTTGCCTACTGTGAAGCATGGTGGAGGGTCAATCATGCTTTGGGGCTGTTTTGCTTCTGCAGGTACAGGGAAGCTTCAGCGTGTGCAAGGTACCATGAATTCTCTTCAGTACCAGGAGATATTGGATGGAAACGTGATGCAGTCCGTCACACACCTGAGGCTTGGGAGACGTTGGACCTTTCAACAGGACAATGATCCCAAGCATACCTCCAAGTCCACTAGAGCATGGTTGCAGAGGAAAGGCTGGAACATTTTGGAGTGGCCATCGCAGTCACCAGACTTAAATCCGATTGAGAACCTCTGGTGGGACTTAAAGAAAGCAGTTGCAGTGCGCAAGCCTAAGAATGTGACTGAACTGGAGGCCTTTGCCCATGAAGAATGGGCGAAGATACCCGTAGATCGCTGCAAGACACTTGTGTCAAGCTATGCTTCACGTTTAAAAGCTGTTATAACTGTAAAAGGATGCTGTACTAAGTACTAAGATTGAATGTCACTTGGGGGTTGAATAAAACTGATAATGCTGTGAGCACAGAAAAGACATTTGTGGTTATTTCATTATAACTGTTATGTTTATTTGTCTGACCTACAAGTGCCTCTTTAATGTAAATGTAAGCAAGATGACTGAATGATCAAAAGCAATGTCAAACTGGCCAAAACACTCAATTTCAGTGGGGTTGAATAATTTTGGCCCAACTGTACATTTCCAGCATTTGCTGGGTGCCAGGATAAAATGACATGGGAATTATGTCATCTCGGGCAGGCCAAGAGGATCAAAGATCTCAAACCCAGAAGCAGCCTGTGAGAAGATGTTGGCACTGTTGAGAGAGCTCATGGATGCTGCATCATTAGAGGGAAGATGAGCATAGCTCTGCTTTTTTATATTTTCAATAAATACACCAACTTCATTTTATTTGACAATACTTACAATGGATATTTCTATAATCAATAATGATTCTATAAAGAAATTAAAGATTATAATTTGCTTACTATATTTATATGTGGTCTAAAGAATATGTTAGCCCAAGATTTCATATTCCAGATACGTTTCTGTTGCACCTTGTACTTGTGTTAAAAAGTATCCTGTTCTCTTTGCATTGCTTCCTTTTTATGAAATACTTGGTGATCCTTCCAATCCCTCTGCTTTCCTATTTCAACTGACCATGCTGGGCATGAGAGCACATCCTTCCCAGTGTGTTAAGTTTTCTGGCTGCGCTCGGAGAACAGCCTGCCTGTCTTCCAATGGCAAAACGTGTGCCAACACTCTCCTCTGCACAACCATTTACTAGGAAGATCTGTACTGTATTGCTGTTTCTGCACCCCAAGCTCTCTAAGGCAGGTCAAACATTATGCAATATTCTTTCCTTTAGCCACAGTGCTGGAGGAAAAAGTGAACTCAGACTAATTACTTCAAATAAAGCTAATTGGAGTCAGCTACTTTCATTGATAAATAACAAGCAAACATTTTGAGACTGCTATTCATAAGAAGCAGCAGCTGATGTCAACCATGCTTTGCAAAAGCTCTGAAGACATACGAGTAGTTGATCAGTATGATCAGAAGGCTGGAAAAGGGATACAAAGCCATCTCAAAGTGTTCAGGCATCCATCAGCTGACAGACAAATTGTCTGTCAATGTAGACAGTTTAGTACTGTGGCTACTCTTCCTAGAAGTGGGCACCCAGCCAAGATGACTCCCAAGGCACAACACAGAATCTTCAACGAGGTAAAAAAAAAAAAAATTAAAATGTAAAAGCTAAAGGCTTGAAGGCATCACTGAAATTGGCAAACATCCCTGTTCATGAGTCTACCAAACACAAGTCTTTGAAAAGGCATTGGATCCATGGCAGAACACCATAAAGGAAGCTGCTGCTCTCCAAAAACACATTGGCAAACTTCAGGCATGCAGCAAAGACCACCTTGGCAAGCCAGAACGCTACTGGGAAAATGTTTTGTGGACTGATTAAACAAAAATTTAATTATGTAAAATGACAATGTATGTAGCAAAAAGGGCAAAGCTTACCAATATCAAAAAACATCCCAATGGTGAAGTACTGTATGGAGGAGGGAACATCATTTGGGCTTGCTTCACTGCCTCAGGGCTTGGACCATTTGCCATCATGGAGGGGAAAATTAATGCCCAAGTTTATCAAAATATTCTACAGGATACGGTCAGGGTGGTTGTTCACAAGCTAAAGCTTAGTGGACAATGGTCCTAAGCATCAAAGTACATCCACCACAGAATAACTTCAGAAAAGGAAAATGCACCTTTTGGAGTGGCCCAGTCCAGACCTTAACCACATAGACATGCTGTGGAATGTTAAGAGAGCTGTTCACACCAGACATCCTACAAATCTGTCTAAGGTGAAGCAGTTTTGTAAAGAGGATTGGTCAAAAATTCCTCCTGAATGTTGTGCAGGTCTGATCCAGATCTACTGAAAGCACTCCTTGAAGTCATTGTTGCCAAAAAGGAGGTTCAACCAGCTATTAACTCCAAGGGTTTACTTATTTTTTACTCTAACACTAAAAATGTTTAATGGGTATGTTCAATAAAGACATGAGAAATTGTAATTGTTTGTGTGTATCAGCTTAAGAATCTTATGTTTGCCATAAAATGCACTCTGATCCCAACTGAAGTCACAATAGGCAAATTACTGCAGAAAACCGGTTAATGCCAAAGGGGTTTCTTGCCACTGTATTTAGGTAGATATATATATATATATATATATATATATATACACAGTGGGGATCGAAAGTTTGGGCACCCCAGCTAAAAATTTGAATTAATGTGCATAAAGAAGCCAAAGAAAGATGGAAAAATCTCCAAAAGGCATCAAATTACAGATTAGACATTCTTATAATATGTCAACAAAAGTTAGATTTTATTTCCATCATTTACACTTTCAAAATAACAGAAAAAAAAAAAATGGCGTCTGCAAAAGTTTGGGCACCCTGCAGAGTTAATATCTTGTACTGCCCCCTTTGCAAAGCTGAGACCTGCCAGTGGCATGGATTGTTCTCAATCATCGTCTGGGAAAACCAGGTGATGTCAATCTCAAAGGTTTTAAATGCCCAGACTCATCTGATCTTGCCCCAACAATCAGCACCATGGGTTCTTCTAAGCAGTTGTCTAGAAAACTGAAACTGAAAATAGTTGACGCTCACAAAGCTGGAGAAGGCTATAAGAAGATAGCAAACGTTTTCAGATGTCAATATCCTCTGTTCGGAATGTAATTAAGAAATGGCAGTCATCAGGAACAGTGGAAGTTAAAGCAACATCTGGAAGACCAAGAAAAATATCAGACAGAACAGCTCGCAGGATTGTGAGAAAAACAATTCAAAACCCACGTTTCACTGCATGATCCCTCCAGAAAGATCTGGCAGACACTGGAGTTGTGGTACACTATTCCACTATAAAGAGATACTTGTACAAATATGGTCTTCATGGAAGAGTCATCAGAAGAAAACCTCTTCTACGTCCTCACCACAAAAATCATCGTTTGAACTTTGCCAATGAACATATAGACAAGCCTGATGCATTTTGGAAACAAGTTTCTGTGGACCGATGAGGTTAAAATTGAACTTTTTGGCCGGAATGAGCAAAGGTACGTTTGGAGAAGAAGGGGCACAGAATTTAATGAAAAGAACCTCTGTCCAACTGTTAAGCATGGGGTTGGATCAATCATGCTTTGGGGTTGTGTTGCAGCCAGTGGCACAGGGAACATCTCACGAGTAGAAGGAAAAATGGATTCAATAAGATGTCAGCAAATTTTGGATGGTAACTTGATGCCATCTGTGAAAAAGCTGAAGTTAAAGAGAGGATGGCTTCTACAAATGGATAATGATCCTAAACACACCTCAAAATCCACAGGGGATTACATCAAGCGGCGTAAACTGAAGGTTTTGCCATGGCCTTCACAATCTCCTGACCTCAACATAATTGAAAATCTATGGATAGACCTTAAAAGAGCAGTGCGTGACAGACAACCCAGAAATCTCAAAGAACTGGAAGACCTTTGTAAGGAAGAATGGGCAAAGATACCTCAAACAAGAATTGAAAGACTCTTGGCTGGCTACAAAAAGCGTTTACAAGCTGTGATACTTGCCAAAGGGGTCAGTACAAGATATTACCTCTGCAGGGTGCCCAAACTTTTGCAGACGCCATTTTTTGGTTTTCTGTTATTGTGAAAATGTAAATGATGGAAATAAAATCTAACTTTTGTTGACATATTATAAGAATGTCTAATCTGTAATTTGATGCCTTTTGGAGATTTTTCCATCTTTCCTTGGCTTCTTATGCACATTAATACAAATTTTTAGCTGGGGTGCCCAAACTTTCGATCCCCACTGTATACACACACACACACACACACACACACACACACACACACATACATACACACACACACACACGTTTGCCTTTCATTTCTATTTGTAAACCGAATGGGTTGTTTTACAAGGTAATGGTTCACATATACTTTAACAGCAGACAAATGTTGTAACTGAATGCTGCATATATCCAACTCATTGATGAATCCGGACTCCATCAGACAGGCAATGAGCCATATCTTTTTGGTGCAGCTCATCATTCTGCCTTCTACATACATTCTCTGTGTACTAAGGAAGCATTTAAAAGAACATTATGAATTAAAGTATAAAGCTAACCATGCACATTCGAGGATTAACTATTCCTGTCTGTAGGAACAAGCTACGAATGGCAGGCTTCACCAGCTGATACTGGGTAAAATAGTAACATGGCATAGTTAACAGTTTTGGCTTGTTATTCTAGGTGCCAAATCTGTCTGCTAACATGTTCCTTTTTAGGATACATTTTAAAATCAAAGAAAACATCCAATTGGCTTTCTATAGCTTATACCTCCACTTGTCCTTTTCTCTACTTTTTTTATAACGTTTGAGCCAGCAGGGAAATGTGGCACTTTTTTTGATATGTGTCAACTGCAATCCTTTCATTTGTAGAAATGTATTATAAAAGCATAAGTCACATAAAATTAAAAAAAAAAAAAAAAATGTACTGAACAAAATAAAACAAAGTAGCATGGCACACTGGGATTAAGTAAAAAAAAAACAAACATACTTGTCAACAATATATTTAATATTGTCACGTAGATTAACATCATCTCTGTCTTTGTATGGCTCAATATGAAAATTAACCTACAAAAAAAAAAAAAAAATTAATAAAAATGTGCACAAACTGCATTAATACATACAAGTACATTTTATATGCAAGCTAAAAAAAAAAAAAAAAAAAAAAAAAAAAGTGGTTGAAACAGAAAGTGCAGTCATTTATCTTTCACAGAGGTCAGTCAAGGCTGAAATTACAGTGTGGGTCATATCTGTAGTGTCATTATAATCAACAACACATATGCATATGCATTAGAAGCTATAATTTAAAGGTCATTTACCACACATGCTATGCATACTAATAAAATAGCAGGAAGGGAAAGTGAAGAATAAGGCTGCCTCTTCAGACAACAAATTAAGCCATCAGAATGAGTTCTGTAGTAACTATGGTTAAATCTGCACATACACATCAATGTACACTTAGATTTGCATATTTGATCCATCCATTTCCTGATGTTGGTGGGTGCAGCCCATAGGAACAGACATCAATGGAGCCAGAGGAAACAATGTAGCCAATCACCAGTTCTCCAATTGCTCCGGCAAGGCAATGGGGTTGATTTACTAAAACTGGAGAGTGCAAAATCTGGTAAAGCCCTGCATAGAAACCAATCAGCTTACAGGTTTTTTTTGTCCAAGCTTAATTGAACAAGCTGAAGTTAGAAGCTGATTGACTACCATGCATATCTGCACAAAATTCTGAGTGTTCAGTAGACATACGTGTACAAAGTGCCAGTTTTACCTGCACACAGTTGGAATGGGTGGAGCTCTTCTCTTACTTGCACATCATTACAGATCTGTCGGTTTGCCCTCCTCTAGCACTGACAGAGTCGTTACTAGTTTCTATTTGCTGCAGGTCTTTTAGGTTCCTGTCACTGATGATGTAACTCCTGTGCATGCCTCCAAGAGTTAAATTATCCAGGGCTCCAGCTCCATTCTTGGCATCTTACAGATGCCAGGAAAGGGTCTGGGGTGTAAACTGCACGTTTCCCAGGCATTGTACACTATTATAAAAATTGCTTTGAGTTAGGGGAAAGGTCTAAGAAAATAAAAAAAGAAAAAAAAAAAAGAAAGTACAGGATTGATATGTTTTTAGCAACTAAGTATGTGAAAAGTCAATTAAAAAGATAAAAAAAAAAATAACTAAAAAACATACATGTGCACACAAGCATAACTTACCTTCAGGCCATATTTATGAGCTATGTCTAAAACATGTGGCACCAAATCATCAGAAGGGACACCATTGTCATCATTCATTTTGCGGTGGATACCATGATAAAGACAGCACGCCTGTTATCAATATTGATATACACAATTAATTTTCAAAACCATACAGAAACATTAGATAAAACAATCCACATAAATCAACACGTAAAACCTATATATTAGTTCAAGTAGAATATGGGGTTGATTTTCTAAAGGTAAACAGACTCTGCACTTAGCAAGTGCAGTTGCATGAATTTCCCCCAGAGATAAGTGAATGTGATGAAGCTCTGATGATTTTTATCATCCAAATCAGGTGCAAGGGAAGAAGAAAAAAAAAAAAAAATTTTCTTGCACATGATTGGATTATGAAAATCAGCAGAGGTCCGCCACATTCACTAAGCTTTGGGGAAAAATTAGTGCAACTTCATTAGTGCACTTGCCTTTAGTAAATAAACTCCTATTTATTATAATGTATGCCGTGTTGTAAAGCACTGCGCAAACTGTTGGCACTATATAAATCCTGTATAACAACAATAATAATGAGAAGATTTGAACAATGCAGCCCAGATAGTGAAGATCATGTGTTCTCAAACAATGCATAGGTATCTATTTCTTTAACCCATTTTCTGAATATGAAAACTTTGGATTGATCCAAATATCTCAGAATTATCATCTTGGTAGCGATGATCAAAAAAGTAACAAAATGTTTATATAGCCTACGGATAACCTTTGATGTGTCAAGGTTTAACAGAACCAGCTCTGCTTGTAATTTCCACTGAAAATCTAAAATGAGAACATCAGTGGAGCTCTATAACATCTAGTGACCGACTCAAAGGATAGTTCTTGCAAAAAAAACAGACCTCACTGTATGATGTTGATATTCTTTTCTAGATCTTTTCTGTGGGCTGGATAACACTTTTCTGTTTCCCTTTTTCTGGAAATGTTGGTGTGTAAATTCTGAAATCAGAAACCATTTGCATATGCAAGGTTTTGATTAGAAAGGTCATGGGTAAAAATAATATTTTATAGGGTAGTTAAAGGTTCACATGGTTAAGACTTCTCTCAGGGTTATATTACCATCTGTGACTTTGCCAAGAAGATTCTGCTTACTATTTATCCCCATTGCACACTGACAAGAAATGAAACAAGTGGTACCAGTACAGAAAGGCACAAATGCTTGGCTACATTAAAAAGGCCAAGCATACATTTTGCAACAAAAACAATACATCCACCCATAAAAAAAAAAAAAAAAGTGCATTTATTATTATTATTTTTTGTATTGGAGGCTTCAAAGTATTGTGATGGTGATCAGGGGCGCACTGACAACTCATGGGGCCCCCGGGCAATAGGGGATCATGGGGCCCCTGTGTCCTTGCCCACACTCAAAGTAAACCCAAAAAAGCCAAAAAAAAAAAAAAAAAAAAAAAAAAAAAAAAAGTACCAGGGGCATTTCATGGGGCCCCCTACTGACCCCGGGCAGTGCCCGAGTGCTCAAATGGTCAGTCCGCCCCCGATGGTGATCAATGCTCCTGATCGGCAATGCTCTGGCTCTACAGATTATTTTTTCAACCATAGGTCGGTGCCAAGGTATGAACCTTCAGTGACAGGCCTGGAGGAAGTATCAATGAACTACAAGTGTGGTGACACCATCGTACTAGTGATCCATTGAAAATTACAAGTTCCTCTACTGAGATGGAAGAGAAGACTAACTTGTGGTATTTTTATTAATAGACGACATACAGTTTCTTTCCTTTTCATTACACATTTAGGTGTTTGTACAGCGGCATGTATTGGGGTCAAATACAGAAATATGCGAGTCTATTTTTGCTAAATAAGTTTGCTTGGATGGGAGCCACGTACTCCGATCAGCTCTCACGAATACACACCTTCATTCGCCATATTCTTCCATATTTGAGTATTGTAACTCCCTCCTCAATGGCCTACCTAATCGCAGGCTATCCCCTCTTCAATCTATCATGAATGCTGCTGCCAGACTCATCCACCTTACTAACCGTTCCATATCTGCCATCCCTCCACTGGCTTCCCATTGCCAAATGAATAAAATAGAAAAAACATTAACAAGAACATAAAACCATGTATAATTCTGCCGCAAATCACATCACCAATCTGGTCTCCAAATATCACCCAAACCGTCCTCTCTGCTCCTCCCACGGCCTCCTGCTCTCTAGCTCCCTTGCCCCCACCTCCCATGCTCGTCTCCAAGACTTCTCCAGAGCCTCCCCCATCCTCTGGAACTCTCTACCCCAATCAGACTATCGCCTACTCTGCCCACTTTTAGGCGATCTCCGAAAACCTCTCTTCAGGGAAGCCTATTCTGCCTTCAGCTAATAACAGAATATTCTATGCCTCCTACCAGTCCATTCCCCACAGTTACCACCTTTTGTATCACCAGTCCCTCCCTCTTAGATTGTAAGCTCCAAGGAGCAGGGCCCTCCTAACCCTCTTGTATTGAACTGTATTGTTGCTGTATGTCTCCCGTTATATTGTAAAGTGCTGAGCAAACTGTTGGTGCTATATAAACCTGTATAATAATAATTCTCCCCCTTACATACACCACTGGCACCAGTATGCTCATACTTCTATCATACTTACCCTCAGTATAGTGGTCATTCATGCCTTCACTCTGTTCAGCTATCCAAGCCCTTACCTCTCTCCTCAGTGTTTGTGACATGAAACCCCACTACTTTCTCTTCCTACACTACTGATGTATTTTAAATTCTCTTGCCTGTACTGTGCTGTACTTCAGTTTACTTCACTTTTCATAGGTAAAATCTTTCCAAGAAATAGTGAAATTAGGTAAAAAGAAACCGTCAAATGTTGCCCTGTTTTAAATGGGTGCACAGGCTTGCCAAAGCACAAAGAACAGCCAGTCCTTACAGACCATGGACCACCCCGGTGCATATAAAATTTTAACAATGCATAATATTTGCAGTAAAAAGTACTTTACAATTGCACACATTTGCAATGCAAGTCCATACACTGTTCAATTGTTCTAAAGTTCAAAGTTTTTCATCTTGTTGCAGTAATGGGAACATTTCGCACTGCAATGCTGAAGGATAATGTACAGTTTAAAATTAGTTTAAAACCACCCAAGCCCTTTATGTGCTAACATGAAAGAGTTGTATAGCCATTCAAATCATAATCCTTCTCTACACCTACAATTTCTGTAATCAGTCCATTGACCAGCAGTTAAAAAAAAAAAAAAAAAAAAAAAAAAAAAACTGCATTCTTCTACATGCTAATAATGGGGAACATGTTAGGATTTGAAAGGGATCAGTAAAAAAAAGGACTATGTCCTTTGGCTCTTAAATGGTGTATTCCCATCATTTAGGTACAGTGTGTGTAATCATTGGCTCTCTTTTATGATGTATTGCGTTATTTAAAAAGTTCACTTCTTTAGGTGACTACTGGACTTTCTAGTAGATGGACACAAAAAAGGCACTTTGGAATTGTGTTAGTACAATGCAATACAAACCCAAATTAGGACACAAACCCAAATTATACAGTATAAGGCCCCTTTCACACTAGCAGAACGATTGGGTCTGCCTGTCCGTTTTTCAGGAAGACAAGATCGGAACATCCATTTTCCTTTATGGAGTGGCGGCGTAAATGGACAAGTGTGTTTACACGCATCTACATCTGATCCGATAAAAAACAGACGGATAGGGATCTGTTCCCCACCCGCCTGGTGGCACAGATCGCATGGCAGCTGGGTGTAAATGGACAGGTAGTCAGTTTACATCTAACCACCCATAGGGGAGAGCAGGCTGTGTCGGTGTCGACTCTGCATAAATGGAGCAAACATGGACCAGCCATCCACCTGCTCAGTGGGAATCAGCAGACAGATTCCCCGCTGAGCAAGCGGACTCCAACAGAGCCTGCCCTGTGTGAAAAGGGGCCTAAGACCACACACATACATCAAATTCTAGCATTTTCAGGTACCTGGGAGTCACAGATGCAGTGTCCTGGCCCATCTCATCCCAGCTTATCCAAATATGTGACAAAGTTAGAAGAGCACTGGAATTTTGGCAAGATAAAATTACTTTTCTGTACTTGCAGAAATCAAACTTAGTGCTAATAAAGAAAACTAATGCAACCACCACATGTATTACTTTTTTGCTTCTGGGTGTAAATATCCTTTAAGGAATAAATGTTTTAAACAATCAAAGTCTTTGGCAGAAAAATATGTGAACATCTAGGATAATAATTTGAAAACTAAGTAATCTGCCTTCACAGAACCTCAGGAAAAGAATTAAAATATTTGCAGAAATTACCTAGAGAAGGCCAAAAACATATCTAAAAAGGCCCATGTGGTGAACAATCCCCAGGAGAAGAAAAAAGTGCAAAGTGTGAGGCAAGCAAAGTGTGAGGCAAGCAATACAAAAACCCTAAAAAGGGAACAGCAGAATAAAACTCAGTTATTCTATCCCCTAAAAACACTTTTATAGGAATTATATTGACATATTGACATCACGGAGATGGCCATCATTCCTAAAGTGTTACTAAACCCACAACAGTAAAATCAGTCTGTATATGCAGTAAAGCATGCTTGTTATACTCACTGTGGAACCTAAGGGGAGTAATTCCCTGCATGGTGTAAAAAGGATGTTTGATCCGGTCTTCCCTGGTCCTCCCCTTCTACTGTCCCTAATCACTCTGCTGATAGAGCAGAGCCTTGGGGGGGGGGGGGGGGGCAAGATGCACAAGCTCAGTTTGGTGTGTATTGCTAGAGTTTGTTTTCTGGGGAGAGTACATATGATCAGCACAGAGCCAATCAGCGAGAGAGAGAGAGAGAGAGAGAGAGTCAGGGATCCTGCAGTCTCATAGGACTGTGAGAGGAGAATGAAAACTCCTCCTACAAGCTTCAACCACTGCCCTGCTGGAAACTAATAGAAGTCACAAGACTGCTCTAACTGCCGATGAGAAAAAGGTATATAGAAGTTAAATATTCATTACAATAATTGCATTTCCATGTTCTACATACTTTGGGAGACCAGATATAGTGATTGCAAGGTCCTGGGTTTAGTAACACTTCAGCAGGTGATGCATGTGACAAGTACATAAAGGAGCACCTAGATTCTCCACAATACTTCTGAGACTGTGGAAAGATTGAAATTTGGAAAAAAAAAAAAAAGACAGCAACACTAATGCATCCCCTTAATTGTGAAGCATAGTGGAGGGAGCATTAAGATAAATATAAATGAAAACTGTATTGAGCTTTTTTGCAGAAGAATATCGGGGTACCGATATGTACCTGGCAGAAAAAGGTCAAAAACCTCAAAACATAAGCATTCAAAATGAAATGGTGGAAGGAAAGACAACTGCATAATCTGTGGACTGCTTTACTCCGTGTATTTCGGGTTAATAGCTACAGTAAATATTTGTTGGAGGCTTACTAAAAACACATACTTTTCCAGCCTGGACTATGAATGTTTAACCACTTCGCTTTTCACACCTGCTCACCAGAGCAATTTTTACATTTCTGCTATGGGCCTGTATCTGGCGATAATGTTGTATACTAGGGCAATACATAATGACCAACAAGACTTTTTCATGAATATTGTCTTGCAACGATTATTTTTTTTCCCTACAATAATTAAATGTAACAAAAACACACTTTGAAATGGAGAAGAATAAGGAGTTAATTAGGACTGATTAGAGCAAAACTAAAAGGGTAACAAGGGGTTGGGTTAAACATAGGCGCATTTAATTAAAACAAAAAAAATTTTTTTTTTTTTTTTTTTTTTTTATATTGTCAGGTTGCATTAACTGACTTCATCCACAGATCAAAGTTCATCCCTTCTTTGATCTGTAGATGAAGATACTAAATGAAACAAAGTTTCTTTTGAGCAAAGTTTTTGATAAACATTGCCAGACTGTTTAGTTTGACAGTTCCAACTGTCAGAACTTTGTGTACTCAGCAATGGTGCTTTGATTAATCAGAGATGAATTGTGGAGTACTGGGATAGGGGAGGTCCTGAAAGCAGGGCAAAAAAAGACTAGATGTATTATACAACCTGAGTACCATGATGACACTTTTTGGGGTGTGTCCAACATGTACAGAATCTGCAACTGGTTAAACAAGCTACTGTATTTAAGAAAAAAAAAAAGTACAGGCTTGTTTAATCAAATTAGGTGTGTCTTGAATGACAACTTGGTTGAAGATCAGGCCACATTGTAGGAGCTACATCACACATAATGAGCAGCAAGTAACTTCAGAGTATTCATAAACCTTTTTTGCAACTGGCAGACCTTGTTCACATGGGTGGTAAAAATAAAGTGATTTGGCTGTGTTTTTGCTGTTCCCCCCCAAAAGCTTAACAAGGCAGCCATGAGGTGTTGTACACATGTAAATCTAAACTAGGATTTACCAAGTTCAACGGATAGCACCACTTATCAAACACACCCACTGAAGTCAACAGGGCCCTTCAACAACCTTGCACTAAATACTTGCGGTGCATTTGCAGCAGGTTAGTTCAGTGAAAAATCATAATTTGGTAAAAAAAAGCAAAAACACACAGGAAGCCACTACTCTACCACCCAATGAAAAGCAATCTACCACAGATCGGTTTTCAGAAAGCAATAAAACACTGCCACATGTGTGACCCTAGATCTAACCACTAAATTGTTAATTCCGTTACAGGTGTGGGAACATTTTTACATACACACATTATGTGAATAGCAATAGTAGCACTATTTAGGGGTTGGGGGGGGGGGGGGGTGTTATTCTAGCCAATTAAAAGCATTTCATCAAGCCTAAAAACTGGTTAGCCATAGTTCTCTGGAGCAAGCAAAACATTAGCATAATGGATTCTTGCCAAATTGTACCTATTAGGCTGCATTCATGCTTTCAAGTAGTGGGAACAAGTGTTACTTCTCACGTTTTTGGTTTGGTGCTTTGTACACAATTTCATATGTAGCACATAAGACAGCCCATTCACTTCACGGGCTACCCTATGCACATTTGTCACCTGAAAAGCTCATTCTCATTTTTGGTTGACAAGTGTAGCACATTTTTAAAACTTACGTTTTGCCGCGATCACGTCTTAGCAACAGAATCACACAGTGTTTGGGGGTGCCATTATATAATGAAACAAAAAAGTGAGTCTCATGTACTGCCGTGATCTGGGATTGCTGGCAGAATCACAGTATTTTTGCCCACGATCCCAAATCATGAAATGTGAATGGGGCCTTACAGTAAGTAGGGGGCAGTTGTGTAATAGGTTTTTAAAAGCATTACCTATAGCAGCTGATTGCATTTGCTTCATATGGGCTTCTAAAACAGAAGGATCCTTGGAACTGTATGGTCCAAGTTCTGGATAAAAATTAGCTCCAACATCCTCAGGAGGATTGTGTTTTCCAGTGGGGTAATTACTTGCAATTTTAGCATCCCAGTGTTTCAGTAGTTCGTGATTCCAGTGAATGTATTTACCATCAAACTGAGGGTTTCCATACCACATATAATAAAAAAACATGAAGATTATAATTAGGAGCAGGCAGGTTTTCTATCTCTATACCAACAGACTTCTGTAACTCAAGCATGTTAGCTTGAGTTTTTTGCTCCGACTGAGCATTGGGTTTTTTTACACCGGATTTCTCATGAAGAACTGTGACTTTCTGAAGTTCAGGTAAAAGACCTAATGCAAAAGGGCTCCCAAATGCAGCTGTTTCAGGCCTCAATGATTTCAAGGCCAGCATAAGACTACAGACAATTAAAAGGACAATTCCTAACGTGATGCATGTTCTTCTGCGAAATCTTGTCATGATGACATAGCTCCATTAATTTTATGCTGTAAGAGAGAAAACACAGTTAATAAGGATTACACAGACAAGTCACCAGCAAAGTGTAATAAATGGTTGTAGTAACACCATTATAACTTGGTGCTTTCTTCTGTTTAAAAGGAGATGAGTCTACATAAAAGGCCTGCGACTAAAATTAACACAAACAGATCATTTATCTCTTGGTATCAACACACGGCAAGTGATGGCAATGTTTTGTACACATTCAAGAAAATGGATTTCTGCATTTAGTTGATTTGTATGGATCACTGGAAAACACACCAACTTCAAAAACAGATTACTGTGGGATCCAAAGGAATAAAGCTTAGGGCATAGACTAAAGATTATTCTATAAAAATGCAAAATACTTTACTAGTCAAAAGTCTGAAAGAATTTTAAATGCTTTTAAGAAGATGGTCCTTTTTGCTTAGACTTTAAAAATACCATTCTATAAGTGGCTTCGTACATATCATATTGCATTGTATAGTAATATATTTTATAGGACACTTCAGAACATTCACTTGTCTACAATACCTCTCATGGCCTCATACACTGCATGCTTGTGTAGTTATGTATAATACAATCCAACCTTACAGTCCACACTACATACTTCTCATCTGGAGTAGGAATTGCTGTGATGCTCAATATTGCTCTAAATTAGGGGCCTCCAAATGTTCTAAACAAAGGGCTGGCTTATGGTCTTTTAGGCTTGGGGGGGGGGCGGATTGTGACCAGTGTAAGTAGAACCCCATCATTGGTTTTGGTGGAAAGGGTAGTGCCTCATCATTGGTATTGGGGGGGTAGTGCCCCATCATTGGTATTAGTGAGAGGAATAGTGCCCAATCATTAATATCAGTGGGGGGGAATAATGCCTTATCATTGGTATTCGAGAAAGAAATAGTGCCCATCATTGGTATTAGTGGGAACAGTGCCCTGCCTTGGTGCCAATGGGGGGGAATTATGCCCCATCTTTGGTATCAGAGAAGGAATAGTGCCCCACATCATTGGTGTCGATGGGAGGAATAGTGCCTCGCATGAGTGGGAGTAATAGTGTCCCAAGAGCAAGAAAAAGGCATGCAGAGGGCCACAGTTTAGAGGCCACTGGTCTAAATAAACACAGCATGGTGGTGATTAGTAGCTGTGTATTTCAATGCTGGCATCCTGGGTTCAGCTCTCACTAGAGACACTATCTGCCAGGGCAGTAGCCTCATTGATGCCATATATGTTAATTATAAAGGTGGGGGTGAGAGCTTTTATGATAATACAGTGTGTTATCTGTGATTCTATGACACCTACGTGACTTGCATGTTGCATCTGTACACTGTATATGTTTTATTCATCACATAATATTGCAGTTAATGTGGCATATCTGGTTATACTGCAAAGCTTATTTATCTATGTACTACTTCTGCACAAGCCCCATGCATGGCATTTTGTGTAAGAATAATTCATTACTTCATCAATACCCAATACCTACATTTTGGATTTCTTTAGACAAAATGTATTCATATCAAATCTAACTTGTGCAGTTCAAGAAATTCATGGGGATCTAGATATGATAAAAGATGAGATACACTGCTCTGCTAAATAATATAGGGTTACATATTGCTGATATGTTAAACTATGCATTTCCATTCTCACTCTGTTAAATGCTTTTGCATTCCCCACCAACACAGGCTTTCACAAAGTGTTAGCTGACAGTATTTTACTGTCAGAAGGGTTGGCAATTTGATGACACCTATTATTTTAGAAATAAAGAGATGAGGCCAAAGTGATGTACACCTCAGAAGTAACGGTCAACTTCATCTTCTGGTACAATCACAAGTATAATACTTTCCCAGACAATCTCTGAAATTGTTCATGACTCATAAAATTGGTCTCCAGTGTGATTAAATAAAACCGTTCTACCAGGTATGGGAAATCACCTTCCAGATTAATGCATTCTGGTCACATTTGAACACAACTAACAGCATACCACAGCAGAGCAGCAGTTGAACCATTGTGATTAATATTAAAAATGATTCTAAAAGTAAATTTTTAATATAACATATGTTATACTTACCTGCTCTGTGCAGTGGTTTTCCACAGAGCAGCCCAGATCTTCTCGGGCCCCCCCATCGGCGCTCCTGGCTCTTCCTGTCGGGTGCTCCCACAGCAAGCAGCTTGCTGTGGGATACCCAAGCAGAAGTGTTCCCAAGCAGCTGCTTTGTGTCTAGTCACACATGGAGCAGCAGCTTGGCCGCCCCCCCCCCCAATCATTGGTCGACTGGCTGTGATTGACAGCAGCAGGAACCAATGGCTCCTGCTTGCTGTCTCAACAAATAAGGAGGCAGATCGCGATGGGCTCCGGTACGTTTGGGGGGACTGGGGGCACTGCAGCACACAGGTTTTTTACCTTCATGTATAGAATGCATGAAGGTAAAAAGCCTTCAACCTTTACAACCACTTTAATGTTCTCCAAGTTGGAGACTTTTATATTAAGAATTGGTTCACACTAATGCAACTTGTCATGTGACAGTCTCCTGACAAGTCAAAACCCATTTATTTCAATGACACTCATTCCAAACTATGCAATTCAAGTCACAGCATCTTGGGAGGAAAAAAAAAAAAAAAAAAAAAAGGTTCCTGCACTACATTGATGTCACTTGGAGTCCCATAAATGCTAATGTTGCATTAAATTCGCAGGCAGGTTGAGCTGGAAGTTGTACAACAATGGGATCACACTAATGTGAGCCGATCCTTATTCTGATTTAATTGTTCTAGATATTGTTAAGTGTTCAGATTCAAGGCCACTGATTGGTACAGCCTATTTTTGGCATTTTTGCACATATGGATGGTGTATATGTAGCTAAAGGCCACAAGACATAACCCTGTGATGACAATTCTACTTAAAATTTATTGGGTGGAGTGAAGAACCTCCATCATTGTAAATCCATCCTGTATAAAATAAAAAGAAATGCTCTTGTGGTTTTCTGTCAGTAGCACTGATACCCTCAGTAAGCCTGCTCCTTCTCACTCGCTCTGTCATTCTCCTCAGTGTTTCACACCTCCCTCCCTTTTCAGAAAAGCACCTACTGTTTCCTGTCACCAGTACCAGAAGACTCACCGTCACGGCCTATGCAACAGCTACCTCTCTGCTACCCTCACAGCATATTTATAGCAAAACATACAGCTATCAAAAACACCCACAACCTAAAGCAGGCCACATATGAATCGAAATATGGCCAGTCCAGCAGGGACCAATCCAATTTCGATCCATGTATGGGCACCCCGGTTGTACAAAAGTCAAATCGACCGACTTGTGTACAATCAGCCAAATGATTAGTGCCACTGGCTACAGCTGATCAATGTGTGTCGATTGGCAGAACACAATAAATTTTCACAGCTTGAAGAAAGCCACCCAGGGGGCACACAGCCTGAAGAAAATGACCCAGGGGGCACACATTGCCTCCTATTGATTTCAATACAAAATCGACTCCCAATGACTTCAATGCAAAAACTCCTGTCAATAGCAGTCCTATGTGAACACATCTCCGCATGCCACTCTACCCATTGCAAGTCTGGTATACAGCGCTATACACTCGCACAGGACTTTTTTCACAATAGCACTCAAAACACAATGCGTGTGGACCACATCTGTGAGAACCACCTCAACAGGAACACATAATATCTAGGCTGTCATGTGCGTTAACCAGGGTGGCTCATTCCCACCTGGGCAATTTGGGGGTTGCTGTAGAATTGCGGAGATCGGACAATGCACGAACAGATGCCATTATTTTTAATGGCACCTAAAACCTGGTGCAGTTTTGACATGTTTGACACACGGCAAATCGCATCAAGTGAAGCTTGTCGCCCAAAACACATGCTCCCATTTTGCAGTATGTTTATTGCCAATTATAGGACTGTAACAAATTGCGCACTCACATCAAATGGTAGAAATCACAGCTCCAAACCCATGCTGAATGTATTTTGTATTCTTTATATTTGGAAGCATTAATATTTATCACTATTGAGCTTTTAGTCTTGTTCACATATAGTATTGTCACCTGATATGACTCATTTTGCATGATTCCACTTGTTTTGGCACTTTATTTGCTCATATTTGTTTCACTACTTATTTTGATACACTATTTATTATTTATGCACTTTTATTTAGTAGTTCATGTGAGTAGCGCTACATTTCTCTCTACAAATTAGTTTAACATGATCATTGGTATATGATTTAATGTTAGCAGCTGCTCTCAATTAGGTTGCTCAGGCCTTTTGTCTTGAGCGCAGGAGGTTCACACCATTATTGATACTAGGCTATGGGTATCCACTGAGGCCCTGTAGCACCATTCTTTAAAGCGTCTCCAGACCTTCCTAAAGATGGCCTGGGTTTCCCTCTTCCTGCTAGCTAAGAGCGTGGCCACCACCCTGGGTGAGAGTCCCTTTGCCAACAGGAGCTGCTCCGCAGAAACCACCAGTCAGTTTCTACCTCTTCACCCTGGGACATAGGACCGGCCCGTGACAGCAAATCCTTCCACGGGGTAATACCCAAGGTGGCTGCACAGCTAAGGTCCTCAACGTTGAGAATCACGCTCGGCGGGGCCAGTACGGAGCTAACAGGATTAGAGAGGTTCTTTCCGACCTGAACTTCCTCAACACAGCTGACAGTAGGGCGACCGGGGGAAAGGCGTAGCACAGAGGGAAATCCCACTTCTGCCCTAACACATCCACCACCCGAGCCCCGTCCCACCGATTTAGTGAAAAAAATCTCGGGACTTTGTTGTTCTGACCTGACGTGAAAAGGTCTATGTCTGGGGATCCCCATTTCTTTACAATGGACTGGTAAACCTCCCCATTTAGAACCCACTCCCATTCTTTCAGTCACCGTCTGCTTAAAAAAAAAAAGCCACCAGATTTAAATCCCCTTTCAGGTGGACGGCCAATAAGGAGGCGAGATTCCCCTCTGCCCAAGACAGAAGCACCGCCAACAGGGCCCA